CCATAGGAGGGTTAATAAATTAATTAATCATAATTAAAAATATGCTGTTTTCAAGTTCATCCTAACCCCCTAGGCTCTTGCATTAGGGAGCATACTGAACCCAACAAACTTCAACAGGTTCATGTACTTGTGTATGTACTTGTTCATGGTCACTTCACCAAACCTGATAAACTCCAACACGATGACTCCGTTGGAGTTTGAGTGATATGGTATGGATGGGTCTATGCAGTATAGGATGACTTGCACTGAACAGTACCAAATCTGACAAAATCAAGCATAGTCCAACAATTGGTACAGCAAGCCAGACACTGCACGCAATGAACCCTGTGTGTCTCAACTTACACAAAATCCAACACTATCACCCCGGGCCTTTGATACCAAGTCCAACAAAATGCAACAAGAAGTTCATCAGGCATGGAACCAAGGCTGCCAAAATCTAGTAAAACTTGCTGTTGGAATTTGATGGATATTGGATATTTAGGGTTAAGGGCCTGTGAAGAATATTCCGAAATGCATCAGCAGGAACTGTATTCCTATTGGTCAAAGCACGTCACTTGACCATGTATTAACATTTAATAATGCCCACTGAGAAGAGATAATGCCCCCTGGGTAAATCACACCTTGGCACCTGGATATGAAACAGTGTAATCAGATCTGATTGGTCAGGAGTCTGTGTGCACACAATGCACCTCACGCACCTAGTTCATTGAAGAGGCTTCCATTGGACAACTTTCAAAGGAATATACCATATAATGAATAGGGGTGTTCGGGAAAATGAACGTAAAGTTTTGGAACAAAATCGTCGGAAATCCATCGTTTGTTGACTTCTTTGGACTCTCTGAATAAAAAGGTATTTATGAATGGAAACAAATATGTGCTTGGCTGGTCTTAAACACTCGTTTAAAGAAACCAGAAAATAGAAATGGTTTTTATACATTTTACTAAAACCCTTAAAATTGCATTGTTGGGCTTCAATTAAACTCATTTTAAATTTTTGTTTTGCAAATCTAACTCATACTTTGGTGCTTTTTTGTTTGATGCTAATGCTATTTTGCATATTCATGAGGAGAACTATGGCGTCATCCAAGGCACTGAATTTCAGTGTTGCACTGATTTGTGCACAGAAAATTTCTAGATTTTTGCAACCACTGTTATGCCAGATTTTATTGGGGGGGGGGGCAATTTATTGCTGTGTAAGTATATGGCAATAATCCAGCAAAATTCCTTTTCACAGAAATGTTCCCAGATAGCAAATTTGGGATTCACAATTGGAACATGAAAACATGCAACCTGAACCATGTCTTCCTGGATTTGCATCAGAGCAAAAGCGCCCTCACTTGTCCAGAAATGTTTGGTCAATTTTTAATGTTTGAAAAAGTGCACCATTCTGTTCATGAAAGCCAAACAGTCTTCATTCATGGAAGAAGAGTACAGAGACACACAAAAAGTGATTCTAAGAAAAA